TTCCTTCGACGTAGGACAGGAGGCTCTGCAGGAGGTAAAGACGCAGGAACAGGACTTCCTCTCTGCCTGTGTTGCCCTGGCAACAGACACACATGTTAGCGGTTTATAGTTGAATAAAGAGAGTTCTCTGACTGCACCTGGTGGCAGAAACAGGAAGCTGCGCCGGACCTTGATCATCAGCAGCCTCTGCTGCTGCTCTCCGTAGCACTTCAGGAAACAGTCCTCGGCCCGCTGGAGGCGGTTCCGGCCGTCTTCCAGACAGGACAGGGCCTCCAGGGCCCAGTAGCACCACACGATGTCCAGCTGCAGCACGGCGTAGTTGTCCACGGAGCTGAGCAGAGCTGACCCGCATTTACTGAAAGGAAAGAAGGTGGTCACAGCCTCCGCTGGGCTTTTATTCTGAAAGGTCGGCGGCGGTTCCTACCTGAACTGCTGGTCGGCCTGCAGCAGGTGGCACAGCGCGTTATCGTACTGCTTCCTCTTCATCAGAGAGCGGCCCTTCTCATGGAAACCCATGGCCAGGATCAGAGCCTGACACACACACGGCAAAGAGAGGTTAGAGGCTGCAGCGCCCCCTGCTGGCTGGACGGACACCCTACATTGGTCTGAGGAGGTCAGAGGTCAACCTTTTTCTCCTGGTGAGGGATCTTCAGCGGGTTTCCTTTCTGGTCTGCGATCTCCAGGAACGGCGTGGTGTCCGGATCCTCGCTGCCGTCTGCCAAACAGAACCGGAATGAGTTCCGATCCATCCAGAGCGGCGGATTGCGTAGCTGTGAGAACCCACCTCTCTCCGACAGGATCTGGAACCCTTTCTGGGTCCTCTGGATGCTCTCCTTCTGGTTCTTCTTCTCCTCCTCCTCCTTGCTGATCTGCTCGGCGTCGCTGACCTTCAGGACCATCACCTTGCTGTGGTTCTTCACCCCCTGCTCATCCAGACGCTGATCTAGAACATGATAACCAGAAGAGGGGGGGGTGGGGGTCAGAGAAGCAGGTGCAGGTGCGTGAACCGCTGTGCAGAGATGGGTACCGACCCACGCTCAGCGTTCTCCCGTTCAGGATCAGTTTGACGTGTTTCACGCTGAACTCCTCGGTGATCCTGCAGCGACAAACAAACAGAAGTTCAGACTGATGAAGCGAAGAGACGGGTCGGTCAACGATACCTGTCCACATGGACGTAGTCTGGGGGGGGGACATGTCCTCTGCACTTTTGACTGTCCAAAAACAACGTTACGCTGCAGTACACCCACAATCGTCAAGCACTAGGACCAAGCGGAAAACCGCAGCTAAAGCTAGAGTTTGGACCCGCCTACAAGCTCCTGATTGGCCGTCCGTCTTTTCGCGTGTGATTGGCTGTCACCTCTGTCACTCTGAGAAGCTCTCTGTACAAACACCTGATGCGCCTCTGAATCTGCTCTGTGATTGGCCGGTTTCAGCGCCGCTGAAGTCCTGCCAGCTACCGTAATAACAGCTGTAGGGTGGCAAGACGTTTTCTCTGCTTTCTGGTACGTTTTGGATTTTTAAAAATAACTTTAACGGTCCGATAGTTACGGTCAAACGTGGATCTGATTTTATCAGGAGAGATGTGGGAGGAAGAGGAGGAAACAAACGGAGAAGATGGCGGAGTGGCGGCCTAGTGGTTAGGGCGTAACCCCCCCCTAAATAAATCATGGTTTGTTCCGTGCCTGTCCACCAGCTGCTGCCCCGGGACGTCCAGCCTGGTCTCCAGGAACTTCTTCACCTTTGGTTCCTGGAAACAAAAGGAGCGCATCAGTTCCACCAGCAGCTGAGGTTTCTAACGTCACACTTTGATGATGTCACTGACTCCGCCCCCTCCCCGTCTCACTGCTCCACCTTTTTGGCGTCTCTAGGCAGCAGCAGCTCCAGCGTGGCCACGCTCGTCTCCCTGAAGGTCCGGTTTCCTTTCCCTCTCTCCACGGCCTGGGCCCGGATGGACTCCAGGGCGCCCCCTACCTCCGCCTCGGGCAGGTTCAGGAGGGGAGCGTAGCGCTGCGCCAGCTCCTACGGCAGGAACACAGAGGACAAAATAGATAACAGAAACCCTGAGGCGGCGGCTGAGGACGATTCCCACCTGCAGGTGCTGGTCTCCTGGCTGGTTGTCCTCCTGGGTGAACGGAGGGTTCCACAGCTGGATCCTCTCCTGCTTCAGCAGGTTCTTCAGCTTTGCCTGCGTGTTCTGCTCCGCCATCTTCACAGGAGAAATGAAAGTAAACCAGAGGAGACAGGGGGAGGGACAGCAGGTGGACGTCCCCGTCCAGGTGGGGTTTGGTCTGGACCTGATCTGGGTCCCAGAGCCGCAGCTCAGAGCAACCAGCTGGGGCTCAGCGACAACTCCGCAAAAACTACAGATTACGCTTCAGGAAGACAGTAAACATTTCAGCTGACAGGAAGCAGGAGATCAAAACTTCACAGGATTTTCAAAGTAAAACTGAATAAATGTAACTTTTCTTAAATTAATAAAAAACAACTATATTCTAAATTCAGACCGAAATAAGCTGTTTTTAATAATAATAAAGGCTTATATTTCAATGTTAATAAACAGAATAAAACTCATCATGTGTGATTTTTATCCATCATTAGGAGCCCTTTGACATAAAACATTAAACATTTTCTTTTTCTACTTCATCCGAATAGAGATTATTCTATTGGAAGCTAAATATCAAACTTTAATCTTTAACAATCTTACAGTGGAAATTTATTTTTTTTGTGTGATAAAAACTCCAAACAAAAGGAAAACAAGGCTTTTATTTTGAAAGTTTTCCTTCCTGGTTGGAATCGAAGAACCCGAACAAATAAAACCCATCAGAACTGAACAATTTCTCTAAAGCTGAGTCTAAATTCAAAACTTTTATATTAAATTAAACTTTAATATCTAATTTTAATACAAACGGGAAATGACGTCATTTCCATCACAACAACACGGACATGTTACTCGGTGAGCTAGCTTGCAAATATTCGAGACAAGCTCCTAATTTTGAGGTTTAAACTTCAGCTTTTTATTAAAGTTAGAACAAAGTGGGAGTTTTATCAAAGCTGGAGCTGAAATTAAATCACTAAACATCTGAATAAACTGCCAATAAGTGAGCTTGTAGCTCCAGAGACGCTGACAGACGTTCAGTTAGCTTCAGAAAGCTAAAGCTAACTCAGAGGTACCTTAATGTTAGAGATGAGCCGCTGGCAGAACAGAGCTGGAGCAGCTAGAACATCTGAAACATCTCCAGTCCACCGCTGCTGTCTCCATGAAGCACCTAAACATCACTGCGAGAGGTCTCACTCTGAGCGGATATACTGGGCCCGCTGCGCCGTCAGAGGCACGCCAGTCACGGGGCATCTCAGCTTAATACACGATCTTTGTCACGCAGACGGTTCCCCGCGAGGGTCAAACAACGCAATATAACAACTCTACATAGGAATTATGAAATAACGATAAAAAAAACAAACATATAATACAGGGAGAATGAAGGTATTGGAACAGAAAAACAAAATGAAATAATGGAAATAAATCAGAAAGAAGTTAAAGAAGAAGTTTGTGGCGCTGTTTGTAAAGTTAAACAGTGAAAGATTAGGAGAAATATTTATGGTTATTTAGCGCGTTTTAAGGGAAAAAATATTGTTTTTATCGTAATGTTATTACGGAAGAGGATTAGGGCCACTGAAAAAAAAAGTTTACTGATTTTAAAACTTTATTTTGATTTAGTATTGAAAAAAAAATCAGAATTCTGACTTTTTTCCAATACTAAATCAAAATAAA